TGGCTCCAAGAAGCATTTTGCTAATATAGTGGACTAACTATTACTTCTTGACAAAGAAAGATTGAGCGTTGCCTCTTCTCTGACTCCTAAGACAACAACATATCATTGTCGAATTATGGACTTTGCAGCAAAGGATGTTATGTCAATATCAATTTCAAACACTAAAACAACTTTTCGCATTCCTTGCTCCACTCAAACCTTTTGATGCTTATCAAAGTTTTCAATAATAACAAGCACTTCTCAACCAATTTAGAGATAAACCAACATAGATCCACAATTCGATTAGTCAATTCTTGCAACTCTTTTAAATTTTTTGGCAATGGCCCCTTTATGATAGCTTTAGCTTTGTTCATATTCATTTAAACCTTCTATGTCAACAGAAATCCAAAACTTGATTGATCTCGTTCCAAAAGTGCGGTTTAATGAATTTAATATGATGTTGAATTTTATTAGTGTAATAAAGGTCTCTCTAAGGTCAAATATGTGTTGTTGCATGCTTTTCCTCTTGGCCAATAAGTCATCCACATAGATTCCTGCACTTCTCCCCTTCTATTCGCATAATATATGGTCCATTGTCCTTTGATGAGTCACTTATGAGTTTTCAAGCAAAACAACATGATATTGTAATAGTATAGCCCATCTTCATTGATAAAAGCCGCATTCTCAATGACGGTTGGATGCATCTAAATCAAATGATAGCCTGAAAAGTCGTCTAATACACTCATAACTGTGTAGCCAACCACAGAGTCAATTAGAGCATCGCGTGGGTAGTGAAAGCAGTATTTTAGACAGGTTAAGTTCAAATTGATGAAGTTAACACATATTCGTCGCTTTACATTGGACTTGAGCACCATCAAAATATTTTAAACCCAACCTGGGTACTACATTTCTTTGATAAATCTGTCATCAAAAAATTTTTGTACTTTTTATTGATTGGTTCAGCTATGTAGCTACAATTGGACTGATTTTTTTGCTTAATCGGCCTTATCTTCTTGTTGCCATTAAGTATATGGCAAGCGACATCAACATCCATTCCTGGCATTTCACTCGGTGACCATGTGAATGCATGTATATGCTCCTTTAAAGTCATCACAAGCTTGCCCTTAAAACTCAGCTTCAAATCAAGAGCTGATGTGAAAATACGACTATGGCCTCCTCCACCAAGAACTTCTTCAACGGCTTCTAGTGTCTACAAGCTCATTTTTTCTTGTATTTCAACATTCACCACTTTTTCTTGGATGCCATTAGTAGCTTTTAGGTAGCAAATTATTGATTGATACAAGTCACCTCTCATGATGATAACTTGTCCTTCAACAAAGAATTTAAGGGCTACAATATATGTGAAGATGATTGCTCAAAATGTATTAAAAACTAATCTGTTAAAGATCGCATTACAAGTCATTGGGGTATCAATTACAATGAAATTGACTATTGCCTCAAATTGGCAGTCCTCCTCAAGTAATAAAAAAAATTATCCCTCCTTTAATTTCCCTCCTCTCAAATGATTTCATGTACGGGCCAATATTTGTGAGAAGTGAGTTCTCTTAATTTTCATCTGCACAGTCTAAAAACTAATATTAGCTGAGCACCATGTGTTGATCAATAAACTCTCCATTTGATAGTTCACAATCAAAGTCGTCACTACAATAATGTCACTTCAAAGGTTGCCCTAAGTGGCTTGTTTGGATCGGAGAATGTGTTATGTACTGCTGCTACAGGTGCTCGCACGACGATCACCAAGTTTATCTCTTCTGATCTCAGTCGCTTGAGATTAGCTCGGTGAGCTACTTCCTTAGATCTGCTTAAAATGATAGATACAACTTTTGCAATGTGGCTTGTGCAAACTAGGATGGGTTCATTTCTTTCTTCTACAGCAAGTTCTTTGCCTAGCCTCCTACCATAGTAAACTAATATAAACTTATTAAGTCTTTCTGCCCGATTTAACTATTCCACAAAGTTCCTGAGATGGCGATGTTTCTCTATGTAATGGCCACAATCTCAGTGAAATGTGCAATACTTAATCAAGCCCCTCATATGAAAATCAGCCTTCATTGACTATGGTTGAAAAAAGTACTTTATATTTTGGATGGCTTCGACTAACTCGAACATTGATAAGCACACAAAGGTGACTATGGGAAAATGAACAAGTATTGGTGATGCCTTAGCTAAGGCTATGTGCTCACATCTTTCAAGTGGAACCCACTTGGCTAACTACGAATTCACAAAGGTTGATAAGGTTTTCAGGCAGTTTCCAGTCCTGGAAACTTAAGACAAGTATGTCTCTAGGAGGTCTTTGCCTCTTTACTAAATCTCATTCCATATTTGGTAGACACCCTACGTTAATGTTGTACTCTTATGTCTTCACATAGGTGTTGACAAGTTCAAACAACACGACCAAGGATCCCAGACTCTACAAATTTGATGCATAATGAAAAATTCCTTCTTGAAGACAATGTGTGAAGGCAGCTTGAGCCACAATTGAACCCATCCTTTATCTCTAACATCTACCTCTAAAATCTAGACAATATTTTTAAGAGACTTGCCTTACTCTTGGCACATCTTTAGCAATGCTAGTGAGCAGTTATAAGGACATTGAGCGCCGAAAAATTATGTGATAAACATCATCTTAAATTCAATGAAGAAAGTCATCGTCCCAAGCAAGATGTTGGATTTCAAATATGGGAGGAGTTCAAATTTCAATGATTTCTCAGGACTTTGTCAATTGGGGCCATCTTCTCCTAACTTGCCCTTCAAGTCACCTGGGTTCAGGAGTTGATTCTTCCTCTTCGGACTCCCAGTATTAGGTCTCATCTAGGGACAATAACTTTCTTTCGGTTTTTCCCTTGAGTTTCTTCTCCTAGCCACCAAGTTTGTTGTTTACTTGAGCAATTGTACCCTAGATTCTTCTCTGAGGATTTGATCTAGGATGACTTAAATTGGTCTTCATGTTCCCCCCAATCTCTCATGTCTTTCTATCATCTCAACTAGTCATCTACTCATAAAGTTCTAATCATCCATGTTCACAAAATCCTCTCTAAGACATGTTTCTCTGACTAGATATTTCTTAGGCACTTCTACAGATCTTTGAATAACCCTTCCAGTTCTAAACACAGTTCCACACTAACCATAACTTATAGGATGTAAGCTCTTGTTTTATCCATAGGTCACACCCAACTTTATTAACTCAAAAAAAAAAGTGATGGGCAAGAAGGAAAGAATGATCCAAGCTAGGGAAGCAAATTGATTAAAAAGGCTCAACACGCTACAGTAATAGAGTGGGAGCCAGGAAAAGTCGAGCATTTGGTTTTCCTCAAGTTCCCTTATCTATAAACAAGGATTTGGGGCCTCGAGCGCTACAAAAAAAGACTACATAATGAGCAATTCATGTAAGAAAAATGCAAAAAAAAAAAACATAAGTCTATAGCCTTAATATAGAATCAAATTAAGACTATCACTCGACTTTTATGATGCACGAATACGAACCCGTGACCCTTCTGTTATTGAAAATATAGGAAATGAATATACATTGGAAACGCATTATAATATGAATTATAAAAAATACATTAAAATTCAATAAATAGAATATTAAGAATAATAATAATTCAATAAATAGAATAGAACATTAAAATTCAATAAATAGAATATTAAGAATAATAAAAAAGAGATAATAAAAAGTTTATTAAAATTAATTTTCAAAAGTTAAACGGTCCATACATATTGTTTAGATTATGATAAAGAAAAGTAGGCACTATCTTGTATTACATCAAGTTTAAAAGCATCTTAATCAATTATTTACTAAGAAAATAAAAAGATTGACTAAGTTAGCATGCACTTCTACTTCAGCTTCAATATCATTATCAATAAATATCATAGCTTTCAACTTTGGCTCAAAAACAAAAATGTTCACAACCTCTAGAATTCTCATATTGTTGAGTCTCAAATCCAACTATTGTAATATCTCACATCTTCCTACCACAGTCCATATAATTTGGAACTTTTCTTGATAGCTTTTAAATAAATAAATAAATAATTCATTTAGAATTTTAATTTTATATATATATATATATTAAAAAATTTTAAAATTTCTTAATCTAGGACACGTGTGTTCTTCATTTTCTAAATATTATTTAAATTGAACACTTTCAATGTCGTGTATAACATATGTCAAAGCAGTATCAGCGATGTGTCTGTATCCAACACTGCGCGACATCTTAATTAGGAGTTGATGTGTATCATAGGTCGGCTCGTAGAATAATATTTGGATCTTAGAGTGGTGTGGGTCGAGTGGCCTCTATGGTTGTAAGCGGCCTGTTAGATCAGCTTAGTCATTCGAGCCTTGTGCGACAAAAGATGAGGTCATCTTTGAACCTTGGTGGATGTTTAGGGTTGGCAGGCATGTGGATTTGTCTCGCTGCTAGTGACACGATGCCTTAAACTCTACAAGCAAATTCTCCAAGATCTCAACTGGTGAACCCGCTTCTAAGTTTAGTTACAAACTCCTATCCTAAACTCGGTGGGTGAGTCCACGCTAAACTCAATCCGACGTGCTCGTTAATGCTATCCTTTTGGGCAAATCTGCCCTTTGAGATCTACACTTATCATGGATAATTAAATATAAGCATCATGACTATCAAGATAATAACCTAATTTTTGTAGGCATCATTTGCCTAATTTTATTTTTAGTATCCTATTTAATCAATCCATAGCCATAAATTTAAATATTTAACATGAAAAATATGCAATGAAAATAAACCACTTTCATCTCAATAATCTGTCCTTTGTTCCGAATATATCAGCGGAACAGCTATCATCATCATTCCTTCCTATCAATCTTACACTTCCAAACTTCTGGGTGCAATCGTCCCATATAGAGGGACAATGTGCCCATCAAAACCATCTTCTTGTACACGACATAAACAGTAAAGAATTCCAAATTTCATTGCAGCTCAAAATTCCAGCTTAACAATTTGAATGGACTAAACAATGAGTGGGCCTTGTACCTGAGTGACATCCTCGGCGATGTTAAGCCCCTCGAGCTCCGTCGCTGGTTTGACGGAGACGGCCTTGCAAAAGACAGGGGAGTAAGAAGACCGTAAGGTGACAGATAAGCTCCCTACCAACTCTCCTTGAGTTTTGAAAGAGCGAATAGAGGAGGTGACGGCGGCGGCCGAATGGCTCGACTGGAATCGATTTTCAATCGATGATCGATGGTAGGAAGCGACAGGAGAGGCCGCCGTGCTCGAGAGAGAAGCCATTGGTTAATGTTTCTTCAGCCGCACCTCAAACGCTTCGGTCCCCCCTTAGTGGAGCTGGAGGACGTCGGAGCGATGGAGAGCGATGCCAAGTCCGTCTTGGGCCCTAGAAATTAGTACTGTTTTTCGTACATCCTCCCGATGTGCCAAATGTGCCAAATGTGCCAAATTGAAGAAAGGTTCTAGTTTCCGAATTGCTGATTCCATAAACCCCCTCTTGATCCCTCTTGATTTTTGCAAGAGGGTCTTTTGTTTTTGTTTCGAATTTTCTTAATAAATGCGGCTTAAGGGTCAACTTTGTGGCCAGCATTTTTACCCTTTACTTATTACCCGCATGTTCTTTGTTCCTTTCTCCACCCCAATTCTACCCTTGGTGACTCGTCGCTCACCTCTCTTCCTCGAATGCTCCTTTGTCGAGATTGTTTATGTCTTTCACCTATTTATCCTCTCTTTGAACTCTGGTTATTGTGCTGTGCAAGTAATTTTCGAATAAATGCTTTTCTATATGCTCTTTGTGGTGATTTTTTGATGAAATGGCTTTCTTTACGCAATTTTTCGATTTTTTGGATGTAATTTGGAAAATGGGTGAAAGTGTGTATTTGACTTGACGATAGCAAGGTTTCAGATACTCATTTGTAGAGGGTGCTCATTCGTAGGGTGCTTTGTATGGCATTGCCTCAAATGAAAAAAATTGTATGGGATTTCATCAATGCCTTCGATGTTTGTGTGCCAATTTGAAAATTGGATGTAAAAGAGTGCTTGGTTTGTTTACAGTTTCATTCGAGTGGTTTTTTTGTGTTTATATCTATTCATTACTACACCTTTTTTCTTTTATGCTTGAGCTATAAATTAAAAAAATTGATGAAAGAGGATGTTTCATTTGTAGATGGCAATGTTTCAGATGGCCTGTATGTAATTGCGTTGAATTAAAAATGAGGGGAGATGCTTCATTGAGGTGTGGGTTGTGGGTTGTGGTTGGGTGCTTGTATTGTGGTTGTGGATATGTGTGTGGTTGTGGGTATGTGTGTGGTGGTTGTGGGTGTGTGGGTTGTGTGGGGTTGTGGTTGGGTGTGTATGTTGTGGCTGTGGGTGATGTGGGTTGTGGTTGGGTGATGTGTGTTGTGGTTGTGGGTATGTGTATGGTAGTTGTGGATGTGTGTGTGTTATATTGGGCTATGGATAAGTGTTATGTGAGTTGTGGCTTTGGGTTTTTGTGTGGTAGTGTGTGATGTGGGTTGTGATTGGGTGTTGTGTGTTGTAGTTATGGGTATGAGCATGGTGGTTGTGGGTGTGTGTGTGGTGTGGGTATTTATTTGCCTCAAATGAATTATGTGAAGGGGTTGTGGTTGTGGTTCATTGAGGTAACGTATACGTAATTGTTTTGAATGAAATATGAGAAGGGGTTGTGGTTCATTGTAGTTGTGGTTGTGGGCATTGTGAAGATTTTTGAGCCAAAAGTGCCTTTTTAAGATCTCGTTTAGAGCATTTGCTTAGAGCATTTGCAATAATTTTTCATTTTGAACCTCTTGAGGGCTTTTTGAATTAGCTCTTTTGGTGGTTGTGGGTGTTGGGTGGTGGATGTGTTGGGGGTGGGGTGGTGGATGTGTTGGGTGTTGGGTGGTGAGGTCCACGATGAGTTGTTTGACCATGTGGGTTCTTCTGGATGATCTGTTAGCCACTGTTGCTTGGTGTCACATGTGAAATCCTGATAAAGGCAATCAAGTTCCCCTTTTCTTTTCGATGCTAGGGTTTTTTAGATACTTCTAGAAAGTCTGTTAGTCGTTGTTAGTTGGTGTCGCATATGAAATTCTGATAAAGACAACCAAGTTCCTCTTTTTTTTTATGATGGGGTTTTGAGGTGATTATAGCTGACATTTTTTTTTATATGCATATGTGACAAACTAGAGTTTGGTATTAAGTGAGCTGAAGGCAACAAAGAACCCCTGTTTTATAAGGTATGTTGTCTTCTTGTTGTGACAGGCTCTGCAGGGTTGGTGTACTTAGTTTTCCGAGACCTCGCACAGGCACAAAATTGTAATTGATTATTGCTTTTGTTAATTTATACTTATGTTATGACTAATGGATTTCCTTTTGAATCATTCAGGGAAAATGAGCTCTAAGATTTCAGGGACCTCCCAACGATTGCTCTATCACTGCGGACTTTATACTTTCTACTGACGTCACGTCAGACACATAGTTATGGGAGACAAATTCTACAAGTGCCCACGTAGAATCATGGAGAAGTATGACTTCTTCCAGTGAGCAGATAGTCTGACAGATTTAACTGCAGACAGTGATGGGGAATGGATATATCCATGAAGGACAACGTAGCTCACAGCATATGTCGTCTGCATTTAAAATTAATATTATCATACTTTTAAATTATCATACTTTTAAATGCAACTTTAATTTTTTTAAAGCAATATTGGTACTCTCTGTTAAGTGAGGTGTATCTTATATTTTTTTGTACTATTACGAAGCGATTTTTTGTTTCTCAAATACAAATATATTGTTATGATTGTTCTGCTGCAAACAACATTACTGCATAGAAGCAAAATGGTCATTTATCTAGAAACAACTATTTTCAAACAGTACAAACCAAACAACCAACCATCTTATTTGGATTCTCTGTTGCTCAGTAGCTTATCTACAGCAGCTACTTAGCAATAACTTATTAATAAGCTAAAACTGCCTCAAACAAAGCCTAAGTGTTACATGCGTATTACATACATATTAGTATTAAACTGAGGTTTTATATATTGTTGAATCCAAATCTGTCTGGAAGAAACACATAAGGCATATAACCTGAAAGAGAGGAAAAGTTTAGAGAAAGAGAGAGCAATGATAAAGAGTAAAATCGTGTAACATTTATTCGTGAAATGAGACCCTATTTGTGGGAATGGGAGTTGTAAGATTATACTTCGTATCCCTAGTAAAGTAGGTACAACAGGAAGTATTTTGGTCAATACATGATTATATGATCGGGAGCTTGAAGTGGCATTTAACTATATATTGATTTTGGTGGCTATGTGTCAGGTGTTTGAGAGAATGATCGGTCGGGTTTTTACCCCGACAACTATTGTTGAAGTGTTGACCGAGAGGAGGTGGCCAACTACTTGAGATCCAGTTGATTCTTATTATCCACCCATCCAGATTGAAGAATCTCAGTGGATTTGTCCATACGATGTTAGTATCGGTGGCTATTTGAGAGGTCAGTCTAGTTCTGCTAGCTATGGGGTTATTTTCTCCCGGCCAGCAAGAGCTAGGTAGGTAAAAGCAGGCCCTCAAACTACCCCTGGTAGGTCTCGATCCTCCTCGTTCTCTTCTCTATTAGCTGTATATTTTCTTGGAGATTCGTGCTAACACATTTTATATATATATATTTAAGTACCTCGATTCTCTCGCTCCTTAATAGTGACAGATGCAATTAGGATAAAAGTATCTTAAATATTAAAATATTGTTAGCATTCATGATTATTAAATAACTCAATAACAGATGCAATTAGGATAATGGGTAGCTTCTCAGGGGGGGCAACCCATGATCATTTTCTGCCTGATGCCCTTGGAACTGTTGCCCCTCCATTGCCAATAGAACATGAGACCAGGGAAGGGGTTTTCTCTTTCACTACCTCGAATCTACATAGATGATGGGCCCCTACACTGGCAAGGACACCAACACCCTGCCTCTTGTAGCATGGTGTGGTGCAACTAGAGTTATTCTAGATTTAAGATTTGTTGAGGGCTCTAAGCATTCAGGAGGACCGCTTGAGGTGTCACATGGTGTTTAACAGGTGACTTGTCTAAAGTGACTGATATGTCGGGATCATCTAGCTCAGCTTGAATATGGCCCGGTGAGGCTGAAGCTCCATTGATCCAGGAGGTCGATCACTCTCATCTTCAGAATGTGCGGCTGGAAAGGCTGGAGAAAGAACTAGCAATGATGCGAGTACAAAAGTCTATCCTTCAAGAGGAAGTTTTAGCACTTTGAGCCAACGTGTTTGTTATCTAAGAGGTAGCTCGCTCTCCCGAATTTAGTCTAAAATAGAAAAGGGTATACATATTTAGGTTAAGATGGGAGTTAGTGCCAAGCTATTGTCTCGGTTAGGTTATGTCCCGACTGAGGCAGTGACTAATGGTTTTATTAAATATATCCTTTATAGCTGATAAGTTGTAACCATATAGATTTAAATGTAAATATAAATATTTTGCTTAAAGGATTTTTTTAATTTTTTTGCATATCGTAATGTGTGGCTGATGTGACTTCATTTATGCAGTTTAAAGTGAAAAAAAAAACCATTATACCCCTGAGTCATTTTGAATTTTGTTGTGTGTTATAAGTAGAGTGTGTGGGACCCTACTTTGTTGCCTCTTTTGTAAGTGATCATTTTCTCTCATCAACATTCTAACTTTCCACCTTCTTTTTACTTGTCGGCTATGGCGCCTAAGTATTCTTCTAAGCTTTTTGGAGTGACCCTTCCAGTATAGTGTTTGTGGTAGCTGTGAAATAAAAAGAAGTCCTCCAAAAAACATTTATCTTTGGGAACTGGATAGTCCTTTGGCTAGCTGAGAAGAATGATAGAGCAACGGGTAGCTATGGAGAAAGTTTGGTCGTATATGTGGACCATTTCACGTTTGGATTGAAAATTTTATTCTGTCAAGAGGTCTGGTCAATTTTTAATCACTATAGTGTCATACCAGCTTAGATGACACTGAAGTCTATCTCCCTTATCATGACAGTTGTTATCTTTCTCATACGGTTGGATATCCCCTAGTCCATCGAGCACTTTTGATACTTCCTCGGATTCAAAGTGGACAAGGATGGGCACACAATTTTCTTGTTTTGTCACAAACTCTAGGTGAATGGGGTTGAGAGCAAGGTAACATACTAGCGAATGAAGTTTGTGATCACCTCAAATCAGAAATAATAGGGGATCTTCATCCAGCCCATCACGCAGGATGTGAGGAAATTGAAGGCCCTATCGAAATCCACAATCATCTACGCCAAAATGATTGAGGGGCAAGATTCATCATTATTTCAGTTTTTAGAAGCAATGGTAATCAATAAGACCTTACGGTCAAAAACTTTTGGTGATATAACCGAAAAATCGTAAGAGAAGTTGGATGCTAAGTAGAGAGAAAGAAAATTGTAGCGGTAATGTACAATGAGAAGAAATCGA